GCCCCGCGCTGCCTCAGTTAACGGGGGCGCGCGGGCGTGGCTGGACCCGTCCCGGGCTGGCCCCCCAGCGGGCCCCGCCGCCTCCCCTCCGGGTCCAGTGGGGTGCGCGGTGCCGGGTCACTGCCTGCTCCGCGCGCCCGGAGCCTCGCAGCGCCCGGCCCGGCATAGCCAGAGTGTGTGTTGGGGGGAAGGGGAGAATCGCTACTGTAAGCGGCGTTTGTTTTCCTAGATAAGTGAAGACATTTGAACATCTTGAAGAGATTAGCTGCGGTTCCCAACCCTTTCCAGATGGGGACCCCTTTTGACAATTCAGGAAGACTTGGGGACCCAAGGCAGTTCAAAAACGGGGAAGAGGGGAAGCAGAGCCACCTGGGGAGACGCTTGGCAATCCTTTTGAAATGTAATGGCAACTCCTATTTGGGTCCCTGCCCCTAGGCTGGGAAACCCTGGATTAAAGGGATTTAAAACAGAAACAAAGCTCAGGTGTTGGAGGTGAGCATTAGCTGTTTACAGACTGCTACTCAGCTCCTATCCCTGAGAGGTGCGAAATCCTCCCTTCTCAGACTATAGTTTTTTCTTTAATGATGGAAACAGGATAACAATAATGTAGCAGAAGAGATGAAAGTCTTTTGAAAATGTCAATGTAACACAAATTCACATTTTTGTTTTTAAATCCATTTTGTGTATAGTGCAGCACTCCAGAACATTGAGAGGAATTGCTAATAGTGCAACCCAGATGTTTACACTTCTATTGGCTAGATGTCAACCCTGCAAGCGATTGCTGAGTGTCTCATCCCCACCGAATCAAGTGAAGGATGGAAGCTTTGTACAGCATTGGAGTTATACAACTGATACAAAATCAAAAGTGGAGAACAAAAGAACTGTGGAGAATCTCTACAAGTTATCCATTGATATTAAAAAAATTCGGAGGCTAAAGCAGTGGGTCCTCTTTCAGGATACAGCCTATGTTAAAGAAACTGCTAATACTTTACGAGAAATGGGAGCTGATAAGACTGCCATAGTGAACATTTTGGAACGTTGCCCAGAGGCAATCCTCCGTACCCCAGCAGAGATAAACTCTCAAAGGGAGTTGTGGCAGTCAGTATGCCAAAATGAAAAACAACTGGTCAAGTTAATAGAACTATTTCCAGAGTCTTTTTTTACTGTTGAACACCACGAGAACCAGAAATCTAATGTTCGGTTTTTTCAAGAATTAGGTCTGAAAAATAATATTATCAGCAGATTCTTCACAAGTGCACCTGATATTTTTCACAAGCCTGTTGAAAAAAACAAACATATAGTAGAGACATTACAGAGAACGTATCTAAATTTAGGAGGTTCTGATGCCAATATGAAGGTTTGGCTTCTGAAATTATTAAGTCAGAACCCTTTTATTTTGTTAAATACCTCCACAGAGGTTCTAGAGAACTTGGAGTTTCTCCAGAAGCAAGATTTCACTGATTCTGAAGTTCTACAACTGCTGTCCAAGCTTAAAGGTTTTATTTTTCAGATTAGCCCTAGCACGATGCAGAAGAGCATGTTTTTTTCCAAAGATGTTTTTAAGTGCAATGAAGAAGAATTAAAAGAGCTAGTGTTGAAATGCCCTGCTCTACTCTACAATTCTGTTCCAATTCTGGAAGAAAGATTCAGGGGACTGTTGAAGGAAGGAATTTCTATAGATCAGATTAAAAAGACACCAATGGTGCTGGAGCTGACAACTCAAATTGTACAGTACAGAATTAAAAAGTTAGCTGCTTTAGGATACAATATAAAAAATGGAAATCTAGAAGATTTGAATGGAACAAAGAGAGATTTTGAAGCCACTTATTGCAAAATACAAGCAAAGAGAGAGAGACCAATGTTTAATCCTGTTGCTCCTTTAGATTAATTTGAACATCTTTAGTTTATTCCAGAAAGGTATTTTATCCATCCTTCCTTAAGGACTGAAATAAAATCATATCACCAGTACTTTAAAAAATGTTATTGTATTACAAAAAGTGACCACAATAAAAAGGTTAGCACTATCATTGGTGTCATTTACATAAAGTGCATATTAAGCACACACACATTTTTTTAAAGATGTTTCCCCATTCTAACTGGTCACCAACTTACCTGGATCTTTAGTGATTGTTGTTGCACTGGCCAGTCTGATAATATTTAGAGCGATTATATTAACCAGCCAGGAGAGTTAGCTGCATGAATTTTCAATACTGTTCATTGGGTAGCAGATAAATAAAAGTGTTCAAAAAGGCCTTTAGATAGCTGCCACTGCATCAAAGAGGCCACTGGAAGTTGAGCCCAAATTGAAGCCGGCAGAAGGAGATTACATAGCTAGAGTTTCCACTGAAGATGTGCAAGAACTTTTTATATATAGTCATTACTATAAGAGGGCCCTATCACCATCTTAAAATGTGATCTCTCAGAGATCTCATCTTTTCTTGACTGACCTTTCTAGTTGTCTCTCAGGCCCGTTCTTGCACCTTTACCTCCAATTAACTCCTTGAGCATTTTGTGTTTTCAGGCTCTTGGCTGTTTTCTTGGTAATAGCCTGGTATCATTCCAGGCCTTTCTGCCTCCTTTTTCTTCCCTGTCCCCCCCCCCCCTTTTTTTTTTCCTTCTCTCTGTATTGGATGCAACTGTGGCTGCCTGCTTCCATGATTGGCAGCTCTAGCACCCACCTGTGGTTGTAATCCAGCTGCTTGCTTATAAACAGAAAAGGCTCTCCTCCCCTTCCCCAGGGCTCACTCTGAGGCTGTGTCTAGACTGGCAAGTTTTTCCGCCAAATCATGTGCTTTTGCGGAAAAACTTGCCAGCTTTCTACACTGGCCGCTTGAATTTCCGCAAAAGCACTGACGATCTCATGTAAGATTGTCAGTGCTTTTGCGGAAATACTATGCTGCTCCCATTCGGGCAAAAGTCTTTTTCTGAAAAACTTTTGCGCAAAAGGGCCAGTGTAGACAGCAGAAAGTTGTTTTCCGCAAAAAAGCCCCAATCACGAAAATGGCGATCGGGGCTTTTTTGCGGAAAAGCGTGTCTAGATTGGCCACGGATGCTTTTCTGCAAAAAGTGCTTTTGCGGAAAAGCGTCTTGCCAATCTAGATGCGCTTTTCCGGAAATGCTTTTAACTGAAAGCTTTTCCATTAAAAGCATTACCGGAAAATCATGCCAGTGTAGATGTAGCCTGAGGTTTGTATACCTTATTATACACCATCTGGTTGCAATCTCTGGATGCTAATATAATGCAAATAAATAAACTGCATCTAGAGGGTCTCCTTCAAGATTATGAAACCTGAAGCTGGCTCTTCTTGCAGGAACACTCATTTTATTTATTTTGCCTGGGCTTCTCCCCATAATTTCCCCCTCCTTTACCTTGGGCTAGAAAGAGAACAATTAGAAAGGGAATTAGTTGAAGTAAAGACTGTGCTTCCAGAAGGAAGGCAAAGACATCTGAGGGGGAACATGGGGCCTTATGCCTTTTAAAGTAGCTGTGGCTCAGGAACAAGCCTTTGCTCTAAATCTGGTGAACATTAAAAATGGACAAGATATGCAAACAGCCACTGCAATTATTTCCTAAGCATATGGAAAAACTGATACCTTTGATACCATGATGTGGTAGCTGTTGACAAATGCTGACCTTTTAATATCAGCTACTATAAATAGCCATTAGTCTTTGTGTAATATTTTCCTTTTCAGGGTGTGAATGAAGTGGTACATAACAAAAACAATCATCAGAGGTCACCTGGCTGAAATTAAAGTTGTCAGGGGTTTCTTGATAAGCTTTTATGAGCAAGTGGTCTGGGTATATTGCTCCTTGGCATGCAGGAGATAGACATGCATGAAAGAGTAGTAAGGTGACCAACTACCAGGGGACATGTTCCACATTTAAAATGTCTGGAAAAACTCAAACATTATATTCAAACAAATTAGGAGTGATCACACATATCAAACTAAATTGATTTGGTATCAAATTTCCATGGGAAAAACTTATATTCTTGAGGCTCAATGATGAACTAAAATTGACTACAATGGATAATTTTGGCAAACAAAGGATCAAGCCTGTTATCTTAGGCTGTATCTAGACTGGCCAGTTTTTCCGGAAAAACTTGCCAGCTGTCTACACTGGCCACTTGAATTTACGCAAAAGCACTGATTTCCTACTGTAAGAAATCAGTGCTTTTTGCGGAAATACTATGCTGCTCCCATTCGGGCAAAAGTCCCTTTTGCGCAAAAGGGCCAATGTAGACAGCTGAGATTTGTTTTCCGCAAGAAAGCCCCAATCACGAAAATGGCGATCGGGGCTTTTTTTTGCAGAAAAGCGCGTCTAGATTGGCAAAAGTGTTTTTGCGGAAAAGCGTCTGTGCCAATCTAGATGCTCTTTTCCGAAAATGCTTTTAATGGAAAACTTTTCCATTAAAAGCATTTCCGGAAAATCATGCCAGTCTAGACGTAGCCTTAGAGTACCTCAACTGTAAAGTGAACTGTTATTCTGCTTGTCATGAGTATACATTTCAGATACATATACACAGTTAAGGACAGATTGGCAATACATCTATATTTTTCTTTACTTTCTCAATGTTTACAACTACAGAGGAAACTTTTGCTTTAATTGTTTAAGATATTTTTTTCTCCTTGCAAATAACACCCTCAGCATATACCCTTCATTTGCTGATCCATCAATGAGGCTTGAGAATGCTGAGAATTAGTCAGTGTTATGTTTTAGTCCTATCTTTCAGAACTCAAGAGACAGGAAGATGCATCCTATATGCAACGTTATCTGTGATTTTGTGTCTCAGTAATGCCTTTTCCCCCAGATACAAGGAGACACTTCAGATATACAAAACGGTGACTATAATTGGCAATATAATAAGTAACGTTGAACCACTGTAGCACTAAATAGACAGCTGGCCTGTTATGCCTTTTGATGAAAATAGTGGCTCAGAGGAGGAAGGGAATTTCCTACTGGAAGTTAAATCAAGATGTATTTGATTCTTATTCATATACTGATGTAAGAGTTTTTGCCAGTTGCCTTGAGCCCATTATGCTCAGCCTGCCACACTGGGCTCATTCAGTTCTTCAGAAACATACTGCAACTAATTTGAGATGACTTTGAGGTAACTGAATATGACTGGCATCTCTTACTGTTGGAAAAGCATTTGATGGTGCCTCTGGGGAATGTATTTTCCTTAAGAAATTTGGGTAAGTTAGTAACTTACTTGAGTTTGTCTTTCAGATTGCTTAATTTAATGCCATATACACTCTTCAATCAGCATGAAATTGGTTTGTTATGACTACTGCCAGTCAAACTTTCCCATTGTACATTGTCAACACTTTTACAATAAACTTATTCTTTAAAGTTGGGCTGAAGCCTACTTTTTAGCAAGGTTAGGACAGCCACCACTATGCAGACCTTGTTTGGTTTTTAAAAATAGATACTTTTGATGGGATCTCAGTGATAATAGGAAAAATAAGGAGAGAAACAGTTCCTTTCTCATAGTTGGATGAATCAACATAGTACTTTTCTATTAATTAGATCAATCTAGACACAACAAACCTCCTTCCCCAAAAGCTGAAGTAGTGAACTGCTATGTCTGGTCTGATAAAAAGAGTATTAATCAAGTTTTACTACTGTATTTTAGTACAGTAAAACCTTTGTATCCCAGCATATTGAGGGACTAGGGGGTGCCAGTTAGTCAAATATTCTGGTTAACTAAGAGTTCAGTGTGTGGGAAGGGGTTTGAGCTTGGGGAGAGAGTTTGGGTGTGGGAGGGATCTCAAGGCTTTGAACTGGAATGGGTATGGGGTTTGGGTGTGGAGAGAGAATTTGGATGAAGGAGGGGGCTTGGGGCAGGGAATTGGGGCACAGGAGAGGTTTCAGAGTACCAGATCTGGGCAATTGCTCATCTCGGGCTCTTCCCTGGAAACAACACATCCTTGCTGCTCCTAGGCAGAGGCGCACCTAGATGGTTTCTGGCCAATGGGAGCAACGGAGCAGTGTTCCGAGTGGAGCAGTGCAGGGGGAGTGCACAGAGTCCTTGTGGCCATTCCTCCTCCTAGGAGCAGTAGAGACATGTTGCTGCCTCAGGGAAGTCACACAGAGCTAGGTAGGGATTTCCCACACCAGCCAGACTATAAACTGGACTTTCAGTGAAGATCAGAAATGCCGGATTATATAACTCTGCAACTGGTACCTGGCTGGATAATACAGCTTTTACTGTCCATAATAAATCTTACCTAGCGGCATAATTTATTTATTTTCCTCAAGTGGTTACAGTCATCTATGGAGTCCATTTTTAATTAAAAATCATGGCACTGAAGACCAAGAAAAGTGGGAGCAAGCTCCATTTCTTATGTCCCTTGATAGCTGCTTCTGGTTATAGCCTGCTGTGAGAGAATGTTTTTGCATGGCAACAAGTATATTCATAATAGTTCTCTATCATTTAGCATGTCACAACTCAACTATGAGACTGTAATAATATATTTTATCCAAACTGTATATATCAAATGAAGAGCATTAATTTCTTATCTTAGGTTTCTTAAAGTGACAAGATTAGAGAAGGTGGGTTAAACACCAACAGGAGAACAACTTCAACAGGTAGGAATTCTGTCATTGTTCATGTAATTGAGTATTGTGATGCATATGCAAAACAGTGTTGATTTAGCATCTATTTTGGCATTTCCTTGCAAGAGGACTTAACTATTCAATTTGGGTTTCTTTAAAAACATTCTCATATTAAATAGATGTATTCTGTATCCGGGGGGTGTGAAGAGAGAGATTCTATTCTTATTCTTTCCTGTTTAAAAGTGTGGGCGTGTGAGGGAACAGAGGGTAGTTTTATTTACAAAACTCTGCACAGTCCAGTACTAGGAAAATGTATCTGTGCTTACCTGAAAATTTCCTTTCTTTCGGATATAGTACAATGGGTATTTCAGCTTGCTCACAGTTTCGGACAGAACCAGATCTGCCAGCCACTGGAAGCAAGGAACTGCTCCACCTCTTGAAGTCCCCTTCAGTTGAGAGCTTTCA